ATTATTATTATAGGTTTGTTTTCGCAGAGGAGTGCACCTTGAAGCCAACCAATAGTTTTCTAATTTGGCGAATCTCGTGTGGTTCGTCTGACTGGAGTCACCTATTTGTTTTCGTTCTTGTGTAGACTAGTCGCCCGCAAGCCAGCCAATAGTTTTCTAATTTGGCGAATCTCGTGTGGTTCGTCTGACTGGAGTCACCTATTTGTTTTCGTTCTTGTGTAGACTCTAGAGTCGCCCGCGATCAGTGTGGCTGATTGGGTATGCAAAGGAGTCTGCGGTTTTCTGATGTCGGGTTTTTGGGTTTGGCTGTCGGGGTCCTGGGCGATGACTGCGTCCGCATTAGAAGAAGTCTTTTTTGACAGACTGTAGCTGGACATGGTCAGTTTCACATTCTCAGTGGTTGTAGAGTTCTCGCCGCATCTGTGTTTGATTTATCGATAGATTTTGCCGCTTGCCTCCGCACGTCTGACCCAGCCCCGTTCAGAATTTTTCACTCGTGTGTGATGCGCCTTTACTGTTAACTTCAGAAGTAAGCGATGTTAGCCCTACGTACCTTGGGCACTGCATCTACTCGAGGTTTGCCTCCGTCCGAACATCGCTGCCTTTGACACCCGTTTCACATTTCTCCCCTAGAACTACTGTGCCCCAGCTTTTGCATCTGTGAAGGGCTGTCCTCAGATATGCACCTGATTATTGGGCACACCCTTTGACCATTGACAGTCCGCTCCAATGGGGGGAAAGGGTGACTGGAGGCCTGAGTGCTCACTTGCTACACTTTCGGTGAAGCTAATCTGCGTGAACCGATTCGTGTTCAGGGTTTGTAAGGACACTACCAAGAAGCGACTGTGCCTGCTTCGTTGGCATGATTCTTTTCAACAATAACTCCCGGATGATTAGCTTGCATCCTCTACCCGCCTGCCCGCTAGAGACGCCGTGGTGGTACTTATCGTCACATCGGAGAACTGGATTACCTTCTTCTCAGCCATAGGACCCGGGATGGATAGCGCAAGGCACTCGTTCAGTTCGTTTGTTTTCAACTTTCGTCCATGCCGCTATGTTCTTTGTGTTTGCATCCTCGAAAGCTTTGGAAGGAAGCTCCATTTTTGCGCCTGGCATCTCGATTAAAGAGCATTTTCACTGGTCTTTCCTATTTAGCGGTGGGGGCTTGGTTTCGTTTTAATGGCTCTCCTTTTAGTTATGAAATGCATCGCAACGGATCAGAGGATTTGGCTAGTTGGGTTATCTTGTTGTCCTGTAAACTAGTACTTTTAAAGTGCCGCCAGGCCTTGCAAATGTGGCACTGCATATCATACATGTCATACATTGGATGGACAACCATTTTGCGCACACCTGTTTTGGTCCATCGGTGGTTATCTAGAGCACCCTGTATTGATCTGGTTCATGACTGGGACTAGGTGCAGGAACTGAGTGAAGCCGACAGGGGTTATCACGCAAAGATTATTTTAGAGAGGAAAAATTCGACAAAACGACACGTGCAAACACTGTGAATAGGCTGAACAGTGAAAGAATTATTTCACAGACGTGCACGACGGAAAAACGAAACCGATTTCGAACGTATTGCTGACCCAAGCAGTCGTGATAGATCTTGATAAAACTTGTCTTCTTTCTCAAAACTGCACCCTGTTGGGCGTACGATGATATGACAGAGAACCACCGTTTACTACACTGACCTTACTTGAGACAGAAAATTGAACAACGCAAGGATGTATGTTTATTGGTATCCAGTCCAGTAAGGGGCTTTTCAGCTTTGAGACTGAGCGCAACTTCCACACCGCTGGTAACACGAGGCATTGCGTGACGATCACCGAATACCATATGTGCAAAAGTCAACACTCATTTCATCCTAAACGACCGGAGGTGCACAACCGAAGTAATGTCTTGTATGTGCGTTTCAGGGACGCGGATAGGGAAAGCAAGTTTTCATAAAGGTATGCCGAATTTGACGTAGACGGCGGACATTGAAGGCTACAATGTGGTCAAGATCATTTGCGGTCGCACGCGTTTAGTTCGGTTTGTGTTTCTGGGCGACGGTTTAGACACGGAATGGTGGCTAGGGGTTTGGTGCATGGGCTGGTTGTGCCGTACGGTTTAACAGGTCTATGGAGTATGTGGAGGAAGTCCAACGCGTGAGCAGCTGCAACATCGAATGTTACATCACCAGTCGCCTAAACCGAAGGAGATTATTTGGTTGATGTACGTCACCTTGATGCTTTGATTGAATATAAGGTGCAAAAGGGTGTGCGAAAATGTAGGATTTTGTTCGGGGATCATGCAAATAGCCTCCGACTCTAAAGTCTGAGCCGCGAGGCAGCGCTTGTTATGGTTGTCTCGGGGGACTCTTCTTGAATCCAGCGACTCAATAGCCTGACCAATCTGGATTTTTTTGGCCGTCCCGACCCAAGGAAGCAGGGAGTAAAGCATTACTGTTCCACACCCCTTGCAGCTGAGCTCAGTAGATGCCTTCTGAGCAACACCTGACCCGTTGGTCTCAAAAGTACTTCGATCGTATAGAATAAGGCACCGGTGATCACGGTCAACCGTTGGGCGATCGGAGTGTGAGGTTACAGGGCTAAACCTACCAACCTACCATCCTTCCTCGCGGGAGAGCAGCATCGCAACTTCCGTGAATATAGACATGCCGGGTACTTGGGAAAATGCCTTATCGCCTTCACATACTTATTACAGAGAACAGTGCGACTTTCCCTCCGGATGACCCTGTAATACGATTAGTTGCACTACGGAGACTCACTGTTCTGTGAGAACTGTTCCCCGTTGGCCTTCCTAGTATGGTTGAACCCGCAGGAACTGTGTTAAAACCGATATAACCGACAGTGTCAGTGAACTACAGAAGCCTAACCACTACCAATGGGTGAAAACTTTAGTTCGAGTAGGGGAATATTAGGTGAGATCACTTAATGCCCTACCTCTAGGATTGGGCAAGACGCTAGTACGATCTTTGCGAGGTTTAAAAAAGGTTAAGATAGGAAATATAACGTGCACGGAGTAAGGTTCTATTGCTGATGGTATTGTAGTGGTCTGGTCACCCAGTAAGTTACTTCACCGGGAGTGTGTGGCAAAGAAATAAAAAGAATGACGCTAGATTGGGTATACAATAATAAATAGGTTAAATGGAACAAACCATGTAATAATTGTTCTCTTTAAAACAGTTCGTCGTCGACCCAGTTCAGCGAATAAACCATAACCCGATCACAGTTGTCCAGAGGTCTTCGTCTGAACAGTTCCCACATATAATAGATCCCGAAGATGGTCTGAAATGTTTTGATACCAGAGTTAGCAAACGAGACTCGCAAATGACCGCTGCAAGCGCGGGCGAAATCAGAAGAGAGAGTTGAAGCACGTGACTGCGTTTGTATTGCGTGCGCGTTTTTGTAGTTTTTTGTATTCAAACAAAAAACGATTATGCAGTTGATGAAATAAGTTATGTTATAATGGAAGCAAAATAAAGGCACAAAACGCCATAGTATTTAATTTTTAGACTGATAGAATGATCTCCCTTCCAGCGACTTCCCACCCCAAGATATTTTATATGCGGGTTAGGGCAAACAAACGGCCTCTGGTCTCATTCCAAAAATTTTGGTAAAGTACTCCTAATAACTCATTTCCTGCCATTCGTGGCACAACAAAGCCAACAAAGCCGACGGAATGTTAGTTCGCTTTGTGTGAGAATGCTGCACAGTGTTCTGGGGATTTCTAGCTGCACAAAACTGTCGCTAATTTACCATACACAGGCGCCGTATGTTTTTGGTTTGTCGTGGCCATTCTGTTTATGGGAATATTAACTTCTCTGGGACTGAGTTTTGATGGTTTCAAATTTTAGCGGGAAAAGTGGGCCTTGCTTATTTTGGTCTCAATTGATACTAGAACATAACTATGGGAAGGCTTGGGCTTTGACGTTCCAGTTTCGTTGAAGTGAAGCGGTGTTGGTTCGTTCTCAAGTAAATTAACACATAAAGTAACACATATATACCCGTAACTACACCGCTGCCTGCAGGTGTAAAACGAACTACCATCATTTTTCACCGAAGCTGGTGAACTTCATCCGGGCAGAGCTTTACGTTATGGTTTTCCTTCTGGTAGCACGAACACAACGAAGGAAATGTTATTCTTAGAAAATATATTTTGACGGTTACCACATAAATATACGTATGATGTCTTTTTACGTTATTGGTGGTTATCCAGTTTTTTGAGACCGCTAAATTTATGGTGCATGTGCTAGATATCGCAGCACTAAAACCAAATTATTGGTTTCTCAGCACAGCAGCATACAATGAGTTGAAATATCCCGAGAGTCAAAACGTAATCTAGACGTTACACTGTAAGCTACCGTCGTCCTAGCTTGTTTGAGTTTTGCTACTAATCGAAAGACCGGCGCACCAAAGCATGGATTAACGTTCTTAGTTCGTCTAGGGTCTTACAGCACAAAGGAAGCACAAAACACCGAATGCTGCAGAAGATGTAAAAACTCCACACCAGGCATAACCCAAACTACGCTATCAAGCCCAATTTTGGGCGTGAGCGCAGCTAGAATGAAACCCTCAAATCTAGCCATAACGCAGGAGTAGGTGATCACTTCTTGTAAACAGGCCGCAGCTTTTACAAAATTTTCTACTCAGAGATAATGCAAAACAAAGCCGAACTTTAAGTGAAAGCTGTGTGATTGCGCAGTCCATTGGTATGAGGTCATGAATGGCATTTTCTGTAAATGTACAACTATCCGACGAAGCATCTGCATTTAGGATTTTACTTCTTAGAAGTTATCAACCAAAGTTAAGGGTCAGAGTTGAGTTGGTTCTCAAACACGGTTTAAGCACAAAACAGGATTTGGCTATCGTCGTTCTAAAGCGAAATCTCGTTTCCTAGTTTCGGGAACCAAGAGGCACTCAAAGGCCATTTTTCACCCACCTACTAAATGAACACTTAGAGTTTTTTCGTAGTAGCTTGTCGAGGTTGCAGTTTGCTTGCATATATTTCCATGGTGAATTATCTCCCGGATGTGACTTGGGATCAAACACACAACAGCTTACTCCATTTCACCTTTTGCTACGGCCTAATGGCCTTACAAAAATGTTGGTTTTAGGATACGCTCGTGAGTAAATAAAAAAATGAAGGACAAATGTTTTGAACAGGAAATACTACTCAAGGTCGTTGAAAACCATTTGACAGCCACAATCATAAACGAGGGATTCAGCTGGGTCAAAACCAGGCTTGTATGCAAATTATAGTATTTGACAAATATGGGAAAGCTGACTGTTTTGCAGGGGTTTATTTCACCATTCAAATGAAGGGCAGCTAACAAAAAATATCTTTGTATGTGGGAGTAATTTAGGAATGTAAA